ATTCAATTTAGAGAAAACACAAAAATTTCCAGTAGTTCTCATTATTTAAGCAAAAAATATTCTTTTATATAAATTTAAAAAGAAAAATAACAACCGAACCAGAATGACGCAAGTACGGTATTAATTTTCGTTTTGGAACAGTTTGGAACTGGAACAGGTTTTTTGGAACAGGTATCTTTTACAACTGGAACAGCTTGTACCTGTTACCATATGCACGTCCCTGATGAATATGGCGACTTTTTTTAGTTTTAAAATATGCCGCATTTATAGTAACTTTTACCCTCAAAATTTAAGCTCTAAAAGTACTTGGAAGAAAATTATAATAAATCGAAAAATTATTAAGACTTTAACACCCTGTAGCTAGGAAACAAAGCAGAATCAGACCTATGTTGATATGAAAAATAAATCGTATTTTTACGTGAGGACCCCCCGAGAGATGGCACATGTTTTTTGAAACACCCTGTATAATTAAATTTTTCTAGTTTTACATATTATATCAGGCGTGGGAAATTTGTTTCTTATAAGGTAGGTGAGTCGATCTATGATAAATAATAATATGGATGTATAATAGCATAGAATTACATGTTTGAAAGTGGAAGACGATGAATTATGACATTGTAATTTTGAAATATTTACACAATGTTTCGATCAGCTGTATCCATACAGTTAAGCTGTATCTTTATCAAGTGTAAACTAATCTAAATTATAAATAGTATACATGGTGTCACAGAAATAAGTGCAAGCATTGAACTACAGAAGACAAATTATATACGAGGGGCGAAGTATAGGTCGATGTAATATGTCTAATAGACAGTATTGAGTGATCTTAATAATTCAGACCAAGCACAATAACGTTAAGCTCTAAATCTGGTGGTCCAGTAACATTAAGACTTTATTTTAAATGCACAGTTCTAAAGCCATTCAACATTGGAATGAAGCCAACGTTCTCTACATTATCAATTCTTCATACTTTGTTTCAACAAATTTGCTGGTTTTTGGTACTCAATTAAAGTATTATAGGTGGTTTTTATAAATGTGCTGCAAAATAAATGGAACAAATAAATAAGCTAATTATTAAGTAACTTATTCAGTTTTAAGAATCATTTATTATATGAAAACATATCTTTACAGTTCAAGTTTTACATTTTTTATGAAACATGTTTTTTTTAATTATACTTTTTCATTGGCAATTTTCTATAAAATTTATACATGGTACTAAAAAATTGTGCCTGATTTATTATTTTAGGTTTTTTTTTAATGTTTTTTTTTATGTTATATTAAACATATAATATATAAAATAGTTTCAATCATTCTTATAAAAGAGTTTATTTTATATCTTAAGGTACATTTCGTATTTTCTTGTACCTACGTTTATAGAAAAAAATGTTTATTTATAGTTGATAAATATTTGTTTATTACATATTTTGTTTTACTAATGTTATTTTGAAGTAATTTAATATACAAATTTTTATTTTATATACTATATAGTCTATTTATACTCCACAAATTGTATGTTTTAGCTATAGATTCTGACTATTCATTCTTGTTGAACTAAAACAAGACGTTCAAAGTCTTTTATATATGGCATTTTAAAATACTGATGTAGATTTCTTAAGGATGTTAAATGTTCATGTGATGATATAAAGTACTTTTAATCTATTTATACCTGTTTCTTTATTTTTGTAAAGTTTTCTACGTAGTTTGGGTTTACTTGTAAATGGGCAATTGTTGTATCGCACACGAGATACTTTTATGTCCAGCATATCGATGTGCTATGTGTAATAGATCTCTAAATAAATGATGTGAATTTTCAGCAGAGCTTAATTTTAGATTTATATATTTTACCTGCTTATAAAGATATAGAACAACTAAGAGACGATTTGCGTTTAAACATTTACTTGTCGTTATAAATTGTGTGGGTCATTATACAGGGTGGTCGGAATTGTATTCGGGAAACTTCGGGAGCATATTCTGCAGATAAAAATAAGGACATTAGACCTACGTGGGTATTTGGAGGGGGGAACATCTACAACATCTGATCTGATAATATCTGATCTTATTCGACCTCTAACAGGCGTGAATGAGATCAGATATCTTTAGAAGTAAAAGTCAATTTAGACACTTGCTATGTCGGTAGGCTGAGTACTGCAGAAAAAAAGGTACCAGTATAGTCTAGATTCTATATTAGCCCTAGCCCTAACAAGAAAAAGGAGATGTTAACTTAAACTCATTTACTTCTATAATTTGCGTAGGGTGTGACTTTAGTATACCCCTGGGGATTAGACATAAGCTTTCAAGACAATAATTATATCCCAATCACACTGAAAAGACAAGCAAACACGTGTCCTGTCTGTACTCACTGCTACGAAGAACTAATAAAGATATTATGCATATTTGTAAAGATACAAATACATTGACGTGCAAACTACAAACAAAGTTTTGTGTCCCATATGAAATTAAGTCATTTGAAAAAATCAAGTGCAGACAATATTCTAGAACGAATAGTAAGGGCCGAGGTAAGAGCAAAAAGGCTGGACATATTGCAGGACAAATGATAAGAGTATTATAAGAAAATTCTATAGATTCTGCGACAAAAACCAGATAAACGTATTTGAGGTTAACGGGTCCTTCTTGCTGCCAGGGCTAATCTGGAGAAGCCAGAAAGTAATCATGTTCTATTATTTTAGTATATTTAACAACTAGAGGCGTGTGGACCACGAGTGTTGGTTTAATCGGATAAATTTAAGCTCATTTCTAAGGGACAACACTATACTGTTCTGGAATCAGATATTATCGAATATGTTTAAGTAATTGAATGTACCTACTAGATAATAGCAATTTTTGTCTCGAAATTTGGTGAGGTACTTGGATGCTGAAGAAATTTCGAAGTTATAAGATGAAAACTAATTTATGAAAACTATCTTCAAAGCCTCCTTCATGGACCTCTGAGAATATCATTAACGACTGGAAGGATGGCCTCATAATTAAGATCCCAAAGAAAGGTGACCTCTCGGAATGTCAAAATTGGAGAGGCATTACTTTATTGAACACTATAAATAAAATCTAAGCTAGGACTATCTTTGAAAGGTTATCGAAACATATAGAACGTCGTTTGCGAGCGTTTGATAGCCTAGCACCAATCCTTTTGGTTAGCCCTCAGCAGAGCTGGTATTCCTAACAAAATTCTAAGAATAATAAAGGCGCTCTATTGTGTGACTCAAACTGCAGTCTTGCATAAGGATCAACGGAGTGAATAGAAGAAAAAGAGTGAACAGAAAAGAATCAACTTTTGGAATGGGGTGAGGCAGGTTTGCGTCCTGTCGCTGTTTCTTTTTAATATTCCAAAGAGAACAATTTCCAGGAATCATCGTGGAATATGGTGGACTCCCTTCAGCATATTAGAAGATATCTGTTATGCAGATAATATCTGTCTCCTTTCTCATAGTCACGCGGATATGACATCAAAACTACTTGACTTGACAAAGGAAGCTCGAATTGCAGGTCTTAAGATCAATTTTGTATCAACAACGTCGCTACTTCTATCATTGGAACAACACCTGTAGAGGAGGTAAATAATTTTACTTACTTAGGTAGTATAATCTCAACCAACGGAGGCACAGAGCAAGATATAAATATAATAAACGAGGCCAGAATAACATTTGGAATGCTCAACAATATTTGGAGATCTAGACAGTACTCTCAACTTACTAAACCTAAAATTTTCAATTCGAATTTCAAGTGAGTATTGCTGTATGGTGCAGAGATCGGGAAAATTACATCGCCATTAATTATCAAACTCTAAGTTTTCATAAACCGCTGTCTGCGAAAAATTGTAGGAATATTCTGCCCAAATACTATCAGAAATGAGGATTTATAGAGCTCGACCAACCAGAGGCAGGTGTATAACGAGATCAAACTTAGGAAATGGAGGTGGACACGTTAAGGGGGCGAAGCGGTAACAACATCGCTAGCAGAGCTATTGAGTGGAATCCATAAGGCAGTCGAAGAACTGGTCGTCTAAGACACACATGACAGAGGACAATTAAAAACGAGATCGAAGTAGTAAACCGATCATGGCGAGATGTCAAATCAATTGCCAACAATCGAACCCGCTGGGGAGCCTCTATTGAAGTAGTATTAGTACGAGAGCTAGCAACGTCTGAAAAACAAGTATTTTAAGAAAGCTGGCTCTTTGATATATCTTTTACTATGCTCTCTGAAACAGCGGGCAGGCCGTCAGGCTGCCGATAGACGTTGCGTTCACTACTGCGCATTGAAAGAAGTTCCTATATTTTTATTTAGTCCTTTAAATACTAGTATTGAATATAAATCGAACAAGTCTCCATAGCGCTGCGCGAAAAATATTCAGCCTATAAAGCGGAAAGTTCAGAGTTCAATAATACCGGCTCGGGATAAACTTTTTTTTATTTTATTTTTGTTTATATTCTAATAGTAAAGTATTAAATAATTTTGGTGATTTTAAAAAAATATTTTAATACTTTACTATCAGAATATAAACGATATATTCAATACTAGAATTTACCGGACTAAATAAAAAAGGATATAGGATATAGGATATAAAATATAGGATCTTCTCTCTATACGCAGTAATGAACGCAACTTCTATCAGCAGCCAGACGACACGCACGCTGTTCCAGAAAATGATATATTAAAGAGCCAGCTTTCTTAAAATACTTTCTCGAAAACGTTGCTAAGTCTAGATTATATGCTCCACGTAGGATTAAAGGGACATCTTCAAAGCACTTTCGCTCCCCGAGGAACTGTTTTAGGATCCATATGTTCATATGATTTTTTTTCTTATTTTATCTGTACCGCAAGTAAGATAGTCAGATTGAAAAAACAATCTGATGATTATTAGGTAATGTTTCTCTTAAAGTTTTTTTAAGATATAGGATATAAAATATAGGATCTTCTCTCTATACGCAGTAATGAACGCAACTTCTATCAGCAGCCAGACGACACGCACGCTGTTCCAGAAAATGATATATTAAAGAGCCAGCTTTCTTAAAATACTTTCTCGAAAACGTTGCTAAGTCTAGATTATATGCTCCACGTAGGATTAAAGGGACATCTTCAAAGCACTTTCGCTCCCCGAGGAACTGTTTTAGGATCCATATGTTCATATGATTTTTTTTCTTATTTTATCTGTACCGCAAGTAAGATAGTCAGATTGAAAAAACAATCTGATGATTATTAGGTAATGTTTCTCTTAAAGTTTTTTTAACTATGTAATTTTGACTTACCTTTAAGTGATTATCGTAATTCTTCTTAGACGTTTTTAATTGCCTTTCTCAATTAAAACGAAAATTTTGAGATCGAGATTGCAAAATGACAGGATAAAATGTGATCATAAAAGTCACAGTCAATCTGACAAATCAATTTGTCATTTGTTCTATACATATTTTTTACAATATTCCGAAAACATAAGAATGCTCAATGAATCTCGCATTAAAGATTATGCAAAGAAGTAAATCGAACCTAACAAGACCATCTGGCGTTCCTTATATTAAGCAAGTGTTTAATACGAACCCGAATGTTCCACGAAATATATTTGAATCCACTTCTTTCGTGTGGCCATCGCATAGAAATAGGAATTGTTCCTATCGTTCGAACTCGGAAAGTCTTCGAAATTCCAGCACTCAGACTAGCAAAACCGTCATAGCTCTTCCTGTAAGTGATAGTCCTCGAATGTCTCCAGATAGCTTAAGTCCAAAAACCGAATACAATCCCGATATTCTCTGCCATCAACCAGTTTGTGCCAGTAAATCGACCTTCATTGAGGGCGGGGATGTTAGTTTTAGCAGAAAAAATTGCGTTTTAAGGTATCTACATAATAGGGATGACGAAAGTAAGGAGCCCGACTCAACTATTGAACTTGCTGGTGATTCACTTACGAAGGTATATTTAGAGAAAAATCGATTGAAACAATTCGATAGCGGTGCTAATAGACTAAATTCAACGAGATCGAGATTTTTGCAACAAACATCTCCTCTGCGTAACCTGACATCGAAATTTCCCTTAGAGCTTAAAAATCAGTCTACCAGCCTGGAGAACACTAAAGCTATTATCCCAATTCTTCCATCGATGACAAGATTTAAAGTAAAGAATGTGAAAGAGAAACCTATCGTTCCTAATCCGGTCAAACCGGTGAAATATTTTTGCGAGAAAGATTTTTCGCTAAATTTGAACAGTAACAAAATTACTCCAAGAAATAAGCCGTGTTCGTTTATGTCACCGACTTTTTCCAGCGAGCAAAAAAACAAAATGAGGGACATTAAAACCGTTACCAAACTGATATCGCCTACTAGAAGAGGAAGGAGCGCAAGTCCTAAGGCTAATTTGCAAAGGGCTCCGTCTGTTATTAAGAAGGTGCCGTACATAGATAAAAGTTCTTCGTCTATATTTCAGTGCGCACGCGATGAGCCCGTTTTTACGCTGGACTTGAACAATCTGAAGACAGCTCGAACAGTAAGTACTTAATTATTATTTTCATATTTTTTTATACTCGTACTAAGATACTGGCGTTAAACTATTTATTCGGTGTTATTTAATTACTCCAAACCAAACTACATTACTAATTGATTGTAGGCACAAATGAGACTAAAACCACATAAAATAAAAGTGTTAATTTTCAGAACAACTGCAAACACAAAAATATACAGGGTGGTCCGAACTGTATTCCGGAAACTTTGGCAGCATATTCTGCAGATAAAAATCAGTAAAAAAGTTCGTATAAATGTATGTCCTAAAATGCTTAGTTTCGGAGATACAGGGTGTAAAGTTTCATTTTTATTTCGATTTTTTCCAAATAATTTCTGAAGTATCCTCAATATTTGGATGAAAATTGGTGCCTGGGAGTTTTTTAACATGAGAAATTTGATTTTGATGTCAATATGACTTCTACTTGTAGAGGGCGCCACCTACACATTGTTTAACTGGTTTGAAGAGTTTTTCGTCCGTACCTGTATAAAACTACTGAGTAAAGAAATATACATTTACTACGTTTTTTACGTAAAAAAGGTCTCTTGGTAAAAATCGCTACGAGTAATAGTTCTCTAGATATTTGGAATCGAAATTATCAAAACCTGTCACGATTAACATAAATTAAACATGTTGACTAAATAGTTATTAGACTGAAATCATAAATTTGAAATAACAAAAACTGTTTTATCATCAATTTTTCGCAGAAAAATTTATGATCAATTTTAAAAAAAATATTATTTCAAAGAGCTATCTACTCAACGTGTTTATATTTTGTCAATAATGACATGAATTAACTATTTCCATTCTAAATATCTTGAGAACGGTTGCTCGTAGCGATTTTTACCAAAAGACATTTTTTACGTAAAAAATCACGGAAATTAATTTTTCACTCAGTAGTTTTATACAGGTACGGAAGAGAGAATAGTTATTACTTTTCAAAACAGTTAAAACGTATGTAGGGGGCGTCATATATTGACATCAAAATCAATTTTCTCGTGTCAAAAACTCCCAGACACCAATTTTCATCCAAATAATGACGTTACTTCAGAAATTATCTGGAAAAAATCGAAATAAAAATGAAACTTCTACACCCTGTATCTCCGAAACTAAGCATTTTAGAACACATATTTATATGAACTTTTTTACTTATTTTTATCTGCGAAATATGCTGTCGAAGTTTCCGGAATAAAATTCGGACCACCCTGTATATTTTTGTGTTTGCAGTTGTTCTGAAAATGAACACTTTTATTTTATGTGGTTTTAGTCTATAAATCTATAATTTATAATCTATAAAAAATATATAAAAATCTGACTTAAGTCTTTTATAAAAAGTCATGATACGTTCCACAGTTTTTTATATTTTCTCACGAAATGGCTCAAAAACATAAAATATGACATTTTATGTATTTGAGCCATTATTTCGTGATACGATATGATAGTTTATGTTTATGAGCCAATATTTCGTGATAGGATATAAAAAATTGTGGAAGTTATCGTATACGATTTGAAGTTGAACTTTAACCTTGAATAACTTTCAAGCGAGTCGATTAAATGAAAATTCATACAGACCTGTTTTAAAGGCCGTTCAATTTCCTACAAGAATATGTATTGATTTTTACAAAATGCTGATTTGTTACAACGCAATAAAATTCCAAAATAAAATAATTTGTTTCCCCATGAGACACCCCTTAATATTAATACTCAGAGCTCAAACTTTATCAGATTTCTTTTTAATCATCCTGAATGATATTTTCACGGTAACTAAAAAGAAAAAAAACTTTGTGCACCCTAGTGTATGGGTATATTCACACTGTATCTATAGGTACATTAAAGGACCGCCAATGCTCAGTGGCAAGTGTATCTGCTGCTGTGCTGAGAATATTGGGTTCTGCAGCATGATACGGTCGCTTTAACTGATTAAATAAAAATATTTATTTAAATAAAGCCGCCATTATTCATATTATACAGGGTGAGTCTTAAATAAATGTAAATATTTTTAGGGATGGTATATATTTCGACCCCAGGAACACGTCTATGAGTTTTTTTGCAAAAAAAAAGATGTTGAAAATCGTGCATTTTCTTTTAAATTTCCCTGTATATTTTTCGAAAACTTTTTAGAACTGTCTGTTCAGTGCAAATTTGTCCACGGTCTAATTTCTTATAATCTCTGATATTACCATAGTTACAGCTTTACTCTATGGTTACGGCACTAAAAGGAATGCAAATACATAAAAAAGCCGGTGGCTCTCAAAATTTTTCCAAAAAAAAATCATTTTTTTTTAATTTTCAAACTTAAATAACTCGGTTATTTTGTACTTATTTCAAAAATGGTAAAGAGAAAATATGTTTCTTTTAAAGAGATATACCAGTCCTGAAAATATTTGCACTTATTTAAGACTCACCCTGTATAAGGAACTTATATCTAAAAGAGTTCTTTATTGTTTTGTGTTATTTAAAGCTTCAACATTTTTATAATTGTTTTCAGGCTATATCTTCTGAAACTATCTTAGAAAATTGTAGTAATAGTGACGCTGAGCGCGACTTAGTACAGGCTATATTAAAATTAAAAGATAGTGACTGGTAAGTATTGCATATAACTGTTGATTGAAAGAATCAGGAAGATACGCAACCTAATGGGCGAATTCTTGACAAAGCTAATTTGATTTCCCATTACGTCTCAAGTGCTGTACGGAGGAGCCTCTACTCGTTCTGCAGTCAACGCATAAAACTCTTTTTTTTCTAAAATTTTCTCTAAATCGGCTAGCGAAGGCATATCGAAGACGGTGTGCAACTGAAAGTGACAGTGTTGCCGTATTAAAATGTGTAATATCTGTAATACGTTTGACGAAAATATCTTTTGATGAAAAATCCGCGTTGATGTATTGAAAATTTATTCTTTTATTTTAATTTATTTATTAGTGTTAAACATAGAATAAACAACAAAAATAAAAATTCTTTTATATGTACTGAATAGTTCTTATGATCGAAAAAAGTCGTTTACTTGGCTTGGAAATGACGGTTATTGACATATAATATTTTACATATGAAATAACAGCATTCTTCATTTCCAAGCAAACTCTGATGCCGTTCTTTGTTTAATCACATAATATTATATCAAATTGTTTAATGATAGAAAATCTGTTTTATTAACGTGCTGTACCCAAAATCCGTAAATATACGGATTAATCCGTAGTTCTGGCAACACTGTCTCCGGCAACCACCCACTTTGTCGACTGAGGGTGCATCATCCTAGACACACATCATCCTCGAAAGAGCGGAACGGCGTCGACGCGGCGTATCGGCGTAACGACCTTGAATCGATTTCCAGCAATTCTATTGGCCGAAATTTTTGACAGATGAATTTTTTAGCCAATAGAATTGCTGGAATCAAGGTCGTTACGCCGATATGCCGTTCCACTTTTTCTAGGATGGTGTGGATGCACCTTGAAAGCAGAACTACAGTACAGTATTCTTTAGTCGCTGTATTGTAAACGACTATCAGCGCGCAGCGCCGCAAAACTAATCTCGGATAGGTGGACTAACGGCGACGATATCGCCAGATACATCTCGGACAGGTTTTGTGCCACGAAATCGCCCATAATGGTGCGCATGTTCTTATTTCTACAATTAACGATATAACTATTTTTTCTTGAAGTGGTTCAGCTAGTATTTTGTCATATTTGAGTTCTTGTAGCTCTAAAAGAATCGAACTAAACTATTAAACTATTTTTATTGTCTTAACGTACTAAAAGCAAATTAAATTTGTTACATACTTAATAAAAGTGCTCATTTTCGAATAAAAACATATTATTTGTAATATTAGTTATTTTTTTTGTTTTATATATTATAGTTTTAAAATTTTACGTAAATTTATAGATATTCTTATAAACTCATACATGTTTGAACACTTATAAGCAGTGAAGGATGGGGGGGGGGGCGGCACAGGGCCCCCCCCCAAAAACCCTGTAAATTGGGTTAAATGTTAGGCTTTTGGGTTAAAAATGGCGGCACTAAAAAGCATATTCTACATTACTTTTTATTTGGACCTCATTAAAATAAATTTCTGTATCCGCCCCTACTTGTAAGCTATAGGTTTGCTATGCTGTCCCTAGCAGAAGTAGTTTTTGCTTAAAAATAAATTTAAATAATAATAAATATGTCTTTACCAAAAACCAACTTTCCTAAAGTTCTCTCTCGAAAAAGTTGCTAGCTCTTAGACTAGAATATTGTATGCAACACTTGTTAAGTGGTAGCCTAAATTAAATAGAGTTCATAATGGAACTAAAATAGACATATTAAGCTATTTTTCTTAAAATATTAAAGACCATTTTAGGAACGTCGCCTTGAGAGGTTTGGCGGAAATTGTGGAGATAAGTAGAACCAGAGAAACTCAATTTGTCTATCCGCACATGACCATTATCAATCAAAGAATAATAGAACTACTGAAAAGTTCCAGATCCCACGTTTGTCGTACAACTTGTCAAGCTGTAGGTCATCTGTTTGAGTATGTTAAAGATACAAGACGACCGGTAAGTTTATATGCTGCTATATATTGTTTCTTTAATATTTTAAACGAGCAAGTTATTTTACTTACAATTTATTATTTTATTAGCGAAATGAATGATAAAAAACACTGCTTATAGATTTGTTGAAAAAGTTTTGTTAAACAAAGAGTTGTGAATCATAAGTCTAAGTATTATGATAACTCTCTGTATTTTTTAAATTAGAAAAAATTAATAAATATATATGAGGAGAAGATCTATATTATTTGATATCAAATAAACTTTAAGTTACGTAATCGAGGGCGCGATTTCTAAATTCATTATTGCGAACTATGAATATATTCGGCGCCGGGCCGACTAACTGGAATTTAAATTTTGCGCTGGGCATTCAGGTGGTAGCTCTGCTGTAAAAATTTGCTGCATTTATTTATTTATTTCCTGACATTGTCATTCGTTTTGACACTTTAATTTTGTATTACTTGGTTTAAATAAATAGAATACACATAAAATACAATAAAATTAAATACATGATGTGGTATTTACGTTAGAATAATCAGAAGAATGTAACATGAGAGATTAAATTTCTGATCCGGTCCTTAGCTATTTCTGCTGTAACCAGTTTGGGTTCTTTTTTACTTAATTTTTACTAAGCATGTCTGTTAAGTCTTTCCTATTTTAAAAGTTATTGTTGTATTTTATATTAAGCGACGTTGGATATGCTTTTATTGTATATAGTAGTACAAAATTATGTTTTGTGAATCTACATAAACAGTTTTGATTTTGAATTCCAGTATGTTATCAAGTATGTTACTCATATTTGTTGTAAATTTATGTTACGTTTATAATAGGGTTAGTTTTGGAAAGTATGTATATGTATGAAAGTAGCCTTTTTTAACATGAAATGTCTTTATTCCAAATATATGTGTCCTATAATATTATACAATAAGATATTGTATAAGTCATTTACTTAATACGTAGAGATATTAGATGTGCATAATTCTGATAGATATGATAATCAAATAACTTTCGTACACTACCTTGTTATTAGAAGAGATGGGTTGATATTTAACTCTTAATCATATTTTACAACGGATATTTAGAAATAACTTAATACATCAGTTCATACTTCTAAAAAATAACAGGTAAAAAATAACGGCACGTTGAGTTGAAGTTTTATACTGCTCAAACCAGTTCTAAAAAATAACAGGTATGAAAAAAGCAGTTATGTGAAACTACAACGCGAGAAATACTAAGCATTAATTTTTCTCCTCTTTGTACTACAGTATTTTTCCTTAAGCGACCCGTACATTATCAAACAAATTGCGCAACAAAGCGATGCGCAACGTTGCGTTGCGCAACTGATTCAGCATTGTTCGAGAAACAATCATGTCCTCAATTGCCATTGCGTCAATTATTATCATATATATCCTAGATGATGTCGATGATACCAAAAAACGAAAAAGAAACCATATAATTTTGATGAAAGAACTAAAATATTGCACAACGAAGCTCAACACACACATAACTACACAACGCGTTGCGCAAAGTCCTGTTGCACAAACGCATTCAAACATTTTTGAAACTTATCAAACAATTGCGCAACGCATCAAACGTTACCATACATTGGCAACTCATTGCGCAACACCCCCTGTTGCGCAATTTGTTTGATAATGTATGGGCCGCTTTATGGTTGACTATTTACCCAACATTTATAAAAGAAATTACCTTTTATTTTTAACAAGGAATCACCTCTTACAATTTATCGCATTTGTTTTGAGACACCAGTATAGCGAAATATACATGCGATCGTATAGTATACATACTCTAATACATATAGATCATACCAAATAAACTTTTAAACGCGTGATTAAGCTTGACCGACACAGGGTTGCCCATTTTTACATATTTTCTTTTAATCAAAATATTTTAGGAACCAAAAATAATTTAATTATAAATATATAAACAGTTATTATTTACATCAACACAACTCACTTCCTTAAAGCACTTAAGGGACATAAAAGGGCTATTACTACAGCTTTCCCGTTCAAAATATTCTAATAAGGTTGTGATGAGTTTTTTACAACGGCAATGCCGCTTAATAAAACGTCATCTTGTACACTTCGCACTAAAAGAGGTTCTAAGAAGAACAATGTTCCACTGCAAGGTCTGCTAGTAAAAAAATTTAAGCTTAAAATATCACAACAGAATTCATTTAAACCAAAAATTCGTAATATAAAAGTCTCAAAACGAATGTGTCAAAACGAATGACAATGTCAGGAAATAAATAAATAAATGTGGCAACTTGACATTTTTTACAGCAGAGCTACCACCTGAATCGCCAGCGGGAAATTTAAATTCGAGCTAGTCAGCCCGGCGCTGAATATGTCCATGATTGACAACAATGAATTTAAAAATCTCGTCCTCGATGACGTAACTAAAAGTTTAATTGGTAGCGCTTATATATTTTTTATTTTTACCGGTTTAATTATTTTGAAAAACATAATATAGGTATTTTCTCTGTTTTCCAAATGAATAGAGAAAACTGTTTGTATTTATAACTCTGTATTATTTTAGGAGTTTGATGAAATAGTGGATAGTTTATTATGCAGAACGGCTGACTCTAACAAATTCATTAGGCACGATGCAAATTTGGCTTTAGATTGTATGGTGACTCACATTCCAGCTTTGCATGCGGTTAGAGCTATCTGTACAAAAGTAACTATACATTTTTATTAAACTTATTTAGTTAATCATCGCGACCTTAAAGATCTATTGTGCCCCCTTTCTTGAGTTATAGCTCATCAGTTTATAACTTATCATACATGGGGATCTGCCTGTTGTAGGGGGGACAGGATATTTCCGATTCTTCTCTGTCAACAGATGTTCATCCTCCGAGGAGTGGGTATCTACCTCCTACGAGGGTATACACCCTTGTTAAAACTGTGAAAGGGTCAACAACTAAACTGCAAACAGCGATGATATTCAGAACTAGACAAATAAGCGGAGAATTAAACAATGAGTTTAAATCTGTTAATAATAATTTTTGCATATTCTAGAATAGAAATATTTTATTAAAAGTTTAACTTTATTTTGTCCAACTAGTCAGGGAAGTTTTGAACAAACGACATCATAAAATGGCAGAAAATACAACTTACCTGTGAATTTAAATGGCAGATACAACTGTCACTGTCATGTATCCTGTCGTTGGACAGACTATACCTCTTCTGTGTAATTATCTCCCACGCTTACAATACCTCTGCATGACTTTGGGTGTTAAGTTGGAATGGAACGAGCATATAAAGAAGAATCGTGAAGAGCTCGATATATAAATTTTCTATACACAAATTAATTATATATGTTACAGTGAAATTCAGTGATTGTTAACATTCACTAGAAAATGCTAGCAATTACGCATTAGACCAGTGAATGTGGTATTTTAAAGAGATTTGTTGACTTTTCCTAGTAATTTCTAACATTCACTAAAGATTGGCAGTAAAAGTTATTCTATTGTACAGGGCGAGTGTGGTGAGGAAGAATGTTGGTGGAAGTTAGAACAAATAAAACTTTTAAGAATATTGTATCACTTTAATATTCAAGCTGATCCATTTATCTTAAAATTACAATTTACTTAGCGTACAAAATAATTAAAAGTTCTTCATCGTGGACAAAACAAAGTTTGCCCTAATTTTCTTCAACAGAGTTATTCGCTTTTTCAAACCGGCTACTTCAAGCATATCAAAACGTTTAATAAGTTCGTAGTCACTAGGTTCTTTAATAACTTTTTCTCCTGCACGCTTAACTTTTGTTATGACTTCATCATATTGCAAAAATAGAAAACAAGCACTATTACATTCTGGCGAGTGCCTAGTTTACCTTAATTTTTCACAGAAAATTTCGTCTATAGGAAAAATACCACACAGCACCTTTTATAACCAAACCAAAACAAAACAATAATTTATTATACATAACCACAACAAACGAAGCGAATTTACGCCTGATATCTACCAACGTTGCCAACGCTTAGCCTAATTTAATGTTATCCTTATATTGCCTATTATTCAACTTATCCTTATTTATCATTATATTTTACAACATGTGGCAATCGCGCTAATTGAATTTTTCAAACTCACTGCTATCGTCCAGGGAATGCTAGCATTCACTAGTAAAAGTTGGTTTCAAAAATAGCTGTTGAACTTTTACTGGCGTAGTCTTAGCAAATCAGCGAATGTGAGCTTTTACTAGTAATTGTTAACAATCACTGATTTCCAACTTTTACTATAACATATACCGTGCTGGCAACTGTTATTTTTGGGTCAGCATTTACATGTGTGGAAGTAAATCGCATAGGGATCTTATTAAGTCGGAGTGAAATGCGACGCGCGACGGTGTGCTGTTGCGGCGTTGCCGATACGCCTTTCCCTATCAAGTAAAGTAAAATCACGATCGCAAACCGCTTATTTTTAAAAGACTTTTTTTTCAAGAGATAACTAGATAAAATCATTAGACATGTTACTGAGCATTTGAAATGGAATTATAAGAATATCGTTAGGGTATCATTTTCTTATAACGAGAAAACGTCAGTAATCGCGATAATTTAAAAACTCAACTTTTTAACACATAACAGGCCATAACTGAAGAACCACTTTAGATATTGAAACTTTTTTTTATTTTCAAGATCGGATATTTTACAATATGTTTACATAAGAAAAATTCGATAAGGTTGTTTTTTCCATTCAAAAATTGTAAACAATCCATCCATTTACTTTTAGAGCATAGCAATTTTCAGCAATCGTGTATTTTTTTATTGATAAATATTTTCACATACTGTCTACAAAGAAAATACAGCAGAAATATTAACAAAGTTCTTGAAAAAACTACAATCTATTATTTCTAATAGATTTCAAAATATCGATTTTTGAATTCAGAGTTTTAATAGCGCGACCACTATCGAACACCCACTCAATTCCACTTATTTTTACCAAAAATGCAAGTGTTTCTAGCTTGCACTTAAAAAAAATCAAGCTATAGGGAAAATTACAACGACTCGTTAATAAATAAACAAATTAAGTATCACGAGACGTAATTAAATAGTGAAGCTGAACGCATGACGTACACCTTTCCCTAGAACTTTAAGTACTGACAGGTATTAATTGGGTCGACCGGTCAACTGCGACAAATCTGCTATATCCCCTTCCACGTCTCTTAGCGATGTGCACAGTTTCTCGGTTTATTTCATATGTTTGGCAACGTGCGTACTGTCCTCTCTTTATTCAGTACATTATAAACGCATTGTACTCTTCTTACATACGGAAATCTCGACCCAAGGCTAACCTTTGCCAGCCCTTAGTATAATGAGACCAGCAAATAAGTCTAAGGACTGACGGCATTCAATTATAGGGATGTGCGACTGAAAGCAATGACAAAATAATTTGAATTGTAGAATCTTTTATTTATCTCTAAGATCTCTTTTACTCATCTACAAAATATTAAAAAGTTATAGGGGTGAGCCACTTTGAGACGCATCCGATATATTGATCCGGGTGTTTAATTGAGATATTAAAATTGACTTTATGTAAATTATGTATAAATTTATTTAGGGCCCAGATCATAAAAATGCATTGGTGAGATCAGCATCAGCACGACTTGTTGTTTGTGCGGTTGTTATAGCTGGATCGACTAACGTTTTGAATCCTAACAGTAACGATTACACACGAAGAAGAGTAATTTTGAATATGGTCAGATTTCTTAATGACAAAACCATGGAAACTAGGTATAATAAATCTTAATTCGCGCATTTAAGCCTCATTTGCTGCAATAATGACATAATTACTAAAAAAATCAACATCTACAGTCTAATGTCCCCGGATTCTCTTCACAAGAGGAAAAACTTTTTTATTATCGACATTTTGTGAAAAATACATTCCTCATAAAAAAATTTGCTTGTTCTAAAATTGATAATTTCGTTTATACTTTTCCATACCGTTTAATTAATATTAAGTAAATTAGAAAAACATGAAAATATAGTTGAATTTTATCCGAAAGTCCTAAAAGTAAAAACGCTTTTCTATGGTAAGATAATTTTGTTTTCATTCTTTGATAGATTGTTGTTGATAGAATTTTAATTAACGTCATATTTTTGCTTTGCGTTTTAAAATGTTAAAGAAGCACAAAGTTTATTTAGTTCAATGCAACGGCAATGGTGACAGTCGATAACTATCGGATATGATACTTTAACAAAAGCAAAAAATATGACTTTATTCAAAATTAATAATAACCATCTATCAAAGAATGAAATCGAAATTATATTACCATAGAGACGCCTTTTTTTAGGACTAAAAAATTCAACCATATTTTCATGTTTTTTTTAATTTTCTCTAAAACGGTATGGAAATTTGGAGAAGTATAAACGGGATTAATCATTTTAGAACAAGCAAATATTTTTATGAAGAATGCATTTTTCTCAAATTTTAACAATAAAAAAGGTTTTCCTCTTATAAAGACAATCTGGGGACACTGTAGAAAGGAAAAAAAGTAAAACGAATAATGTATATTTTTGTTTAACACCTTAAAGTGCTGAAATATTGATGTCGTTATTGGAGTCTGTGAGAGGTTGTGTAATATAATACCTACTCGTAAAAATCTAAAATTAAAATTTATACACTTAATGACTTCTGAATAATTAAAAAATAAACATTAAATCAAAATTCCATTTAAGGAATTTAAACAAGCGACTAAACTTATGGCGTCACTTTAAAGCAAGTTTACAGGATAAGCAACAGAGGGCGACACTAAAGAATAATTTCAGCATTTCTAAATTTTGCGTTAACATTTTACTTATATTTTAATTAAATTTACTTAATACAACTTTTTAATAACTTTTTTATTTTTAGAAAATATGGTGAAAGGCTGTATAAACTTCTTGCTACAGACAAAATGTTCGATCTATATATAAGAAGGTACCTAGAAAAAGATACGGTGCAGAAACTCAAAATTGCATTTAAGAAATATCACGGTAAAAATCTTACCGTTCCGTGATAGATAAGTATGCATCGGCTCTTTAACATAACGTTAGATAGTTGAATATTGAGAAGTAAACAGTTCATGGATTCAAACACACAATGTAGTCTAGCTACTTAAAAAATAGAATTGAATATATATTTGTGACTAATTGTTAAAAATAAAAAAGGAAAAAGTAAAAATAGAGTCTTAATTTCCAATTTACCGTAATACATTTCATTCTCATAGATAAAAACCTATTAGGACAAAAAATAAGTAAACTATTATTATTTGGAATATCTAACTGAGATTAAGATTTAGGAGAAGTTTGAGAAAGTAGATACGTATATTTTTGATATCAATTAAACTTTTAGTTGCGTAATCGAGGGCGCGATTTTTAAATTCGTTGTTGCCAACCATGGACATATTCTGCACCAGGCTAACCAACTGGAATTTAAATTTCGCGCTGGGGATTCAGATGTTAGCTCTGCTGTAAAAAATGTCAAGTTATTTATTTCTTGACGTTTTCATTCGCTTTAACACTAGTTTTGTATTACAAGTTTTTGGTTTAAATAAATAGTGTTGTGATACTTTAAGCTTAAAAATGTTTACTAGCTTGCAGTCGAATATTTTTTCTTTTAGAACCTCTTTTAGCGCGAAGTGAGGGTACAAGATATCTTAATTGCCGTAAAAAACTTATTGCAACTTTATTAGAATATTTTAAACGGGAAAGTGGTAGTAATGGCCCTTTATGTCCCTTAAGTGCTGTTAAGAAGCTCTGAGTTTTGTTGATGATGTAAATAATAGATGTTTATATACTTATTTGTAATTAATTTATTTTTGTTTCCTAAAATATTTTGATTAAAAGAAAATATGTAAAAGTGGGCAAGGCTGTGCCGGTCACGCTTAATCACGTGACTAAAAGTTTATTTGGTATGAATTATTGTGGATAGTAATGATCAGATGAAACCACAGAATATACTAACGAAAAGATGAAACTAATTTGACTATTTTTTAGATGGTTGTATTTCTGGTTACATCAAAACTAAATGTTATTTTGGTTCATTATTTTAACAAAATGACATTAAATGTCGCATGGTAAACTACACGCTCAATTTTAAATGTTTTATATAGAATGTACTACCTAGGGTAGTAATAGGATAGTAGTAGTAAATAAACGCAAATATTTTCAGGGCTGGTAGATATTGAAAAAAGAAACATATTTTCTCTTTACCGTTTTTTAATATAATAGCTCCCGTATATAGCGTTTAACGCCTTGGGAGTAGCAAGGTACAGTTTGCCATAACCAATTTACCGTTTTTTAAATAAGTCCAAAACAAACGAGATTTTTTTACTTTCAAAATTTCACAAAAAAAATGTTTTTTGCTTAAATTTTGAGAACCACTGGATCTTTTCGGGGTTTTCTTTCTTGTAAATTTAATCTACTACATATGATGCCATATTATCAAGAAATTGTTTTTAAGTAAAAAGTAAAAAAATTTCCAATTTTTTTTTCAAAAAATTCCTTATTTTCAAAATTCGCGAAAAAAACCTCATAATTTATTTCTGCGGTCGAAATATACCACCCCTAAAATATTTGCACTTATTTAAGACTCATTGCTTATTCAACATTGTTTATTGTATCATGGCGTACTTCGGATATCGGGGGCCGTCAAGCACAAGGTGAGCATCCTAAAACCGGTCCCACACGATGTGTCAAATACCGTATGATCGAAAAAAAACGGCGTCCAGTTGGCCGGGAAATGAGCATCAATGACATTTCCCATATAAATTTACATATAAAATGACAGCGATCTTCATTCCATAGCCATCGCTGACGCCGTTTTTTCTCGATCATACGGTACCTTCCAACATTGGATACAGGAACATTTGCCACATCGTGTAGGAGACACACTTGTGATTTTTGTGACGCAAATGATGCGTCCAACGTTGGAAGCGTTGGAAGCGTTGAATTGAAAAGTGTGAATTAAAAATGTCCGCGGAAACGCGAATTTTTATGAATAGTTACAATAATAACTAACCTAACTAAACAATGCTTTATTATACAAAAAGCCAAAATAGCTTCATCGACAAAGCATTTACAAAACAAACAAAAGCACAAAAAATATACAAATAATAAAAAATATCATACAATCAATCAATCAATTCCAAAAAATTTACGTCATTAAAATTACAAATAAAACATAGGTATGGACATTGGATATTGCAGAACACAAAAAGGCGTATCAATAAAATTTTACAATAGGAAAATTGTAAATAGATATAATCATGTAAGAGTTATAAAATATTAAATATTAAGTACTAGACCGTTAACCAGTGTGTGAGATGATCAAAATTTTAAAATTCAAAATTGTTCATGATTAAACATCAACAAAAAAGTCGTTCACCATAGCTCTCCAGTAAGTATGATTTCAGAGCTTTGCGAAATGCGGGAAAGAATGAAAGTGACTTGAGCCTTTAACTAGTTCTGAGCTCGGGGAGTTGGCAGATAAAGATCGTGCTCCGCATTCCTAAGCGGATAGTTCTGAGATGGCCTTTCGGGAATAGCAGATATGTGCTTGCGGATTAAGTTAACGGATTTAAAAATGAATAAGGAAGGGTCAGTATTTTTCAGAAATTCTGGCAGTGAGTTCTACTGTTCAGTCCCAATAAATATCGAACTTGCTCTCTTTTGAAGTTTGAAAATACGAATTTTTTTCAAATTTTGTCGCGCAGCAAGTGCCCCAGAATGGAAGGGCATAACGAAGATGCGACTCAAAAAAGGCATAATAGACTATTCTAGAGGTTAATAAGTTAAGTTCCTTAGAAACTGATCTTAGCGCAAAACAGGCAGCGCTTGATAAAGCTTCGATGTGCAAGTCCCATTTTAAAGAGTTGTCTACAACAAGTCATAAGAATTTCACGGAGTCCACGACATCAATAGTGGTGTTATTAAGTACAAAATGTTGTATAGTACATTTATATAACAAAACTTTAGTTTTTGAAAGGTTGAGGCATAGGAGATTAGAATCGCACCAAGATTTAATGGTGCGTAAGTCACTGAATATAGTATTATATAGTGCTGGAACCTCTCGACCGCTCCAAGTGAAACTAGTATAGAATCGCACCAAGATTTAATGGTGCGTAAGTCACTGAATATAGTATTATATAGTGCTGGAACATCTGGGCCGCTCCAAGTGACACTAGTATCGTCCGCAAAGAGGCAGATTTTACCGCTAATGTCTAGAATTGCAATGTCGTTAATAAACACCAGAAACAAAATAGGGCCAAGTACTGAACCCTGAGGGACACCACATTCTATAGGCTTACAAGAAGACATAAACGTATCAATCCTCACAAGCTGCCTTCTGTTGCCCAGATATGACTTAAGCCATTCGAGCGGCACTCCTCTGAATCCATAGCATTGCAATTTGTTAATTAAGATATTATGATTTACACAGTCGAAAGTCTTAGAGAAATCACAGAAAATTATAGCTATATTAATTAAAATTCCTGTTCTTTTTTAAAATGTCTTCGTACCTTTGATTTAAATTTGTCGAATTAATAACGCGGAAATGGCGGTGCTGCGGAAAACGAATTTGTGGTCACCCGGTTAGCTAGTTACAAACAAAAATATACCGTTACAATTATCCTAGCACGTGATATTCTTATCAGTAAACGACAAAATATATTCTGATTCTAACGAGCGACGCGACGGACGGCTCGACAAGTCGTACAGAAAGGTAGGTAGGTAGTATTACGGTACTCTCCATTTCGGCCAGTTACCTGTAACTAGTTACCTGGGTAGCGCCAAAGATGCCGCCAAAGTTCGTTTTTCAGGGTCCGGTGAGCACATTAAAATTAGAAAGACACGTTTAACAAGTGTGTGTGTGTATCTCGGAGGAAAATACCGCTCGCCGCTCAACGCAACGGGTTCGTCTGGTTAAGCGGAGTCGCTTTCAGGATTTCAGAGCGGATTCGTCGCGGTCAACGTCTGTAAGAAACGGTTCGTGCGGACAGTTCTATTCTTTGTCTGACACTTCTTCGGTTCGGAAATTAAAACATCACGCGAAATAATACGGACTTTAGTGGCGTTGCGGTGCTTAACACGAAAATGTGAATCATGTGTTGTGTGCTCTATTTATTCAGTTCATCGTAAAGGTAAAAAATAGAAAGAAAAACAAAACCAACCACCATGGGCTTTTCCACGAACCTACAGGGCAAAGTTGCTCATGAAGCGCTTTTGTCTCGTCAAGAGGCAGAGCTGAGACTGCTCGAAACGATGAAGAGGTGTATAAATATTAAAGTTAAGTGCGAGAAGGATTACGCTGCCGCTTTGAGTGCTGTCGCAAGCCAGGGGATGAAGATTGATCGAGGGGATGATTTAACAGGTATGTCATTAAGTTTCATTCTATTATTTTGGATATAATGTCTACCTTTCATAATAATAAACATTTCAAACGATCAAGGTGGTTTTAAAGTGTTGTTGGTAAATGATGTTGGGGGTGATCTGAATTATTTTATGGTGATTCTTCTAATTTCACATAATGTTAACGATACCTCATAAGTAATATAGGGTAATATAGTAGGTACATAACATACATTTTCAAAATGTTTATACAGGGTGAGTCTTAAATAAGTGCAAATATTTTTAGGTGTAGTATATTTCGACCCCAGAAACACCTCTAAGTTTTTTTCGAATTTTCCTAAAAAAATTTCGAGTTTCTTTATTTTTTTTGGGGGAATTTTTTTAATAGTTAAAAAACAAAATATCTTTATAATATGGCAACATAGGTAGTAGATTAAATTTACAAGAAAGAAAATCCAGAAGAGATCCAGCGGTTCTCAAAATTGAAGGAAAAAAATCATTTTTTATTTAAATTTTTGATGTAAAATATCCGGGTTATTTTGGTCTTATTTGAAAAACAATAAAGAGAAAATATGTTCTCTTTATCGAATCAATATAAGGGAATCATTACTGAATTATTTTTTTTTGTTTTAATTTTGCGCTATAATGTACTTATATTTGTTTATTAATTAAATAGTAACAATTATAGTTTTTACCTGCATATTCTCACATACTATTTACATAGATACTTACATGCTTATTTTACAGTTATAATGTTATTGAAAGTAACTTCGTATAAAGAAATTTGACAAATTCGATTTTTTTTTGTTTTTTAATGCCTTAACTTTATACAGGGTGAGTTTTAAATAAGTGCAAATATTTTCAGGGCTGGTAGATCTCGATAAAAGAAATATATTTTCTCTTTACAGTTTTCAAATAAGACCAAAATAGCCGAGTTATTTTACTTCGAAAATTCCCTAAAAAAATATTTTTGCTTAAATTTTGAGAACCACTGGATCTTTTCTGGGTCATCTTTCTTGTAAATTTAATCTACTACCTATGTTGCCATGGAGGTTGCCATATTATCAAGAAATTATTGTTTTTAACTAAAAATTAAAAAAAGATCCAAAATATTCCAAATTTTCAATTTTTTTTTTCGTGAACAAACCTCATAATCGTGTTTCTGGGGTCGAAATGTACTAGCCCTAAAATATTTGCACTTATTTAAGACTCACTACTTTTATTTTTTGAAGGTTATATAAAAAAAGATTCAGCATAGTTATGAAATATTCATTGTTACCTCACTGAAATCTAAAAATTATTAGTGCCACGCTCCAGTGGTACGAATAAACGTTAAATCGAATTTAACAAAATTTATTGAAGAATATAAAATAGTGATTGATTTCCTTAATCGTATAATGTTCCAAAATTTAAATTAAATTTAAATTTTTTACATAAAAACAGGGGAAAAGGGTGTATGGCGTATTATAAACTAATCTACTTATAGTTCATATCAAGTAAACATTTAATCATGTGATTAAGCTTTACCGGCACAGCATTTAGAGCATTACCGGTATATCCACATAAAGGGCCATTACTACCTCGTTCCCGTTCAAAATATTCTAATAAAGTTGCGATGAGTTATTTACGGCTATTAATCTATCCTGCACACTTTGCACTAAAGGAGGTTCTAAAAAGAACAGTCTTGCAAGGTCTGCTAGTAAACATTTTTAGGCTTAAAGTATCATAACACTATTTATTTAAACCATAAACTCGTAATACAAAACTAAAGTGTCAAAACGAATGACAATGTCAGGAAATAAATGAATAAATGTGGCAACTTGACATTTTTTACAGCAGAGCTACCACCTGAATCCCCAGCGGGAAATTTAAATTCTAGTTAGTCAGTCTGGCGCCGAGATGTCCATAGTTGGCAACAATGAATTTAAAAATAGCGCCCTCGATTACGTAGAATTTAGAATTTAGAATGAGTGGGAGGGGGGTTAATCACTTCGACCTTACAGATCCATTGTGTCCCCCTTTCTTGAATCATAACTCATCATACAGTCCCAGGGCTTTGACAAAAGCCAGTATCTGGGACGGTTTTATAGAGGGTAGTTCTCCATCTCCAATATCAGTCGTACCAAAATTCATGGCACGAATGGTTGTCGTCTCGGCGCACTCAGTGATGAGGTGTACTGGTGTTTCACCATCTTCCCCACAGAATCTGCATTCGCCGTTTCTTCTTAGTTTCAATCTACAGTGGTGTTCATTGAGGAGACAGTGTCCTGTTAAAAACCCCGTGACAATCCGAAGATTGTTCTTACTCACACCCAGGAAGATCTGTGATTTTTCTTGATCATAAGCCCTCAGAAACTTCTTCGAGTGTCCTAGACCATTGCAAGATTTCCATTCCAGGTTGCGGATGGAATCTTCCAAGTTCTTGAGTTCCGCCTTGAGTTGGTTACCACTTGGAAAGCAGAACGGTTCTGGTCCAGTTAGTGGAGTGTTCGCTCCTTTCCTAGCTAGATTATTTGCTTTTTCATTGCCTTCTATCCCTTGGTGAGCAGGCACCCAGTGTAGGAGGACTTTGTTTCTCGATTACGTAACTAAAAGTTTAATTGGTATCAAATATATGTAAAGGGAAATCAAAACAACTTTCGTTGCACGTCATCAATGACACCATGCGTCGTCTTATGGAGTTTGCTGCTGGTCGTATTATGATGTGCAAGCAAAGTTATTTTAATTTCCCCATATATAGTTTTTTTGTATTCTATGTACATGTCTTCTGTTTGGAAATAAAAATATCGCACAACGCAACAGATTTTAATGACGTAAAGGTGCTTAAAACGAAAATGTATAACATGCGTCTAGTGCTTTATTCAAATAGTTTGTTGTTAAGCTATAAAATCAAAAGAAAAACAAAATCAACAACTACCTATAGGCTTTTCCACGAACCTACAGAGAACAAAGCTGCTCATGAAGCGCTTTTGTCTCGTCAAGAGCCAGAGTGAAGAGATGCATAAATATTAAAGCTAAAAAAAGGTTGCGGGAAGGATTACGCTACCTCTTCGAGTACTGTCGCAAGCATATTGTAAGCAAGATGAAGGTTGATAGAGGAGGTGATTTAATAAGTATTTCCTTAAATGTTATACCATTATTTTAGATCTAATGTAAAATTTAAATAACAGTAAACATTTAAAACTATGAAGGTCGTGTTGTAACGTATTTATATATATATATTTTTTAAATAATTTTCGCTTTACATACATACTCTATCTCTCATACACATGCTGTTTATATATCGGGTGTTGCGTCGTCGAGCGGGACATAGGAAATCCCATGTAAATTTTAATGGGGTCAATTATTGACTTCCCTAATTATTTTAGAGAATAATTCTATTTAGGTTTATTAAAGAGCACTAAAACCCACATTCAAAAGAATAACTTTAGATATTTTTGATTAGCCCGTTTACGAGTTATCGCCGATTTCTTTTTAAATATTTCTCCTTTCTTATGGCCCTGCATTTACTTATGAGCACCAGTTAAGATAAAAGATAACTGTCAAATGAAGTTGCCATTTCAGAAATTTATCTATTTAGTGCTTTATTATTATTATTAATGATTAAAAACTCATACCTACATCGAAAATATTAGCCATGAATTACACTACCGAAGAAAAAGTATTAATGATTAAATGGTATTATCAAGGAAATAGTTATCAAAAGGTGTATCCGAATAGACCGATACCTGGAAAAGCTACAATCGCAAGGAATATCCAGAGATTTGAGACCAAAGGTACCCTAATAAATAACTGCAGATGTGAAGCAAGGCAGGAACAAAGAGAAGATGCAAGAAATGATACCGGCTTGGAAGTTTTATTGTGCGTGGAAGAGAATGATGAAAAGATCAGCACAAGGAAACTTGAGGATGAAATAGGAATAGATCACACTACAGCGTTTCGAATTTTGAAACGACATAAATACTATTCCTTCAAATATGAAAAGCACCAAGAGCTACGAGATGGGGACGAAATACGGCGGCAGGCGTTTTGTTTTGATATGATGGAAAGAGCAAACACGGATTTTTAAAAAAACATATGTTTCACTGACGAATGCCCGTTTACCTGAAATAATGAATCAATGTTCAAAATTATCGATATTGGAACAAAGAAAACCAACACAGGTTTGTCGAAACAAGGACGCAATATCCACAGAAAGTAAATGTTTGGGCAGGGATATTCGGACACAATATTATCGGGACATTATTTCTTACGCGAAATTTAAATGCAGAATATTATTTGGAACTACTCGAAAATCATATTTTACGTGCTTTACATGATGCCGCTAGGGAAAATCAGGAAGTTTGGTACCAAATGGATGGCTGCCCGGCACATAGTACCCTGGCTGTTTCGGGAATATTTAGGCAATAGTTTTAACGGAAACGTTATTGGCCTAAATCATACAGTAAATTGGCCAGCAAGGTCTCATGATATTTCGCCAAATGATTTCTTCCTCTTGGGCCTTTTAAAAAATAGGATATACAAGGATAAAATATACCCAAATCTAGACGAGTAAAAAAAAAAAAAAATGCTATTTCTGCCGAATGCAATAGAATTTCAGTTTACCAACTAGCGAATGTAAGAAGAGAATTTTATGATCGCCTGGGTTATTGTCTAGCAGTCGATGGAGGAATATTTGAACATCTTCTTAAATCCTAAAGTTCTAACAATTTAATAATATTAATAAGTTATTGAATATTGTAATAATACTATAATTAACCTTATAATTGATTGCTTTATTTTACTTTAATTCATATTAATTTGTATTTATAAATACATCTTTAAGTTTTCCGATGTAGGAATGAGTTTTCAATTATAATAAAGCACTAAATAGGTAAATTTCTGAAATGACAACTTCATTTGATAGTTATCTTTTACCTTGACTGGCGCTCATAAGTAAATACAGGGCCATAAGAAAGGAGAAATATTTAAAAAGAAATCGGCGATAACTCGTAAACGAGCTAATCAAAAATATCTAAAGTT